ATATGTGAAATACCTGGGTGGTTCTACATTATTATTGTCTAACATAAATCGCTTCATCTGGTGAGAACTATCGGTGGCATTTTCAGAATATTCGGTGGCTCAAATTTACGCGTACGAATAGCGTGTAGCATACTAAGTGTCATTTTCTTTGTTAACACGAGTGCTTTCAGGTAAGCTATTTTTGCATGATGCTATAAATGCTATAGGTTTATTACTGTGTCTGTGCTTTGTTTATTTTGTGTTCCACTTGAGAACATTAACATCAGATGGGTATTATATTTTCTTTTCTGCATGAAAAACTTGAGTGATCGATGTGTGTAGGCTCAGATAACATTTTGTGGGCAAGAAGTTGGCGATATGACCACCCTGGTATTGCCGTCACATCCTCCGGACTATACTTGCTTCTCTCTGCTCTCAAAGGGTGTTGCTCGAAATGCTTCCCCTCCTCGGAGAGAAGACGATAAAGATGGCCATTATGTATTTGCTGTTGGAGAGAATTTGACCTCTCGCTGTAATTACACTTGACCATCATTATTTGAGTATAATGACTGTGTTTGTGACCCTTAGCATGCAGGAAACTTCTTTTTCCATTTCCCTTTTTCCTTTTTAATAAAAAAATGTTTTAGCATTGGTTAAACTGCACTACAGAAAACTAGAGATGTATCTGTATGTTGAATTTGTTCATTTTGCAGACATATGGTACCTGCTTATGTTCCTTGGTTACTCATCTAATGTTCTGTCAACAAATACCTTTAAATCCATGATTTAACTTCTTTTACAAAAAAAAAAACAGGTTGATATAGTTAGTTTCACGTTAACTCAAATTCGTTTTCCATCTTCGAATTTTCAAATAGTTTTTGGATTTCCCCTTTTCTTGTGTAGGGTTTTTACATTTGACTTTATTTCCTTGGTTTCGGGTGGTTTGAAGTCTACAAGGTTTTACATGCTGGCCTATTTTGTAGCTGCACCAGATGATGTTACTGTTATTTCTTAGTGTTAACACAAACATGTCTTTTTGCAAAGTGCATGCTAGTTATCTTTGTTTGCACAAATTGTCTTAAATTATTGAGCTCCTTGGAAGGCTCTGTTCTCATACCCCTTCTCACTATTTTTGCAGATAAAATATACAGAAAGATGGGCGAAGGTTAGTATTTTCTTATGGTCACGAGTATAGTTTTGTGAATTCTTAAGTCAATGAATTTGTGACACCAATGTTGCTCAGATCCACCTGATATTGTCTAGTAACTACCATTTTATATTTGCAATAATATTGGAATGTCTTTGTCTGTTTAGGTACTTTTGGTCAGGTGCTGGAATGTTGGGACAGGGAAAGAAAAGAAATGGTAGCTATTAAAATTGTTCGTGCTGTAAACAAATACAGTGACGCAGCAATGATAGAGATTGATGTGCTGCAGAAGCTCGCAAGAAATGACGCCACAGGAAAACAGTAAGTTATACATCTAACTCTTCTACCTCCACAAGGAGCTAAATAAATAAGTACGGTATGGAGTAAATTGTGTATTTATTTTTCATGTCATGTTGCTAAAGAAATAAGTTACATACTCCTGAGTGTTTTTGCAGCTGTGTGCAAATACGGAACTGGTTTGACTATCGTAACCATATTTGTATTGTAAGTTTATATGCTTTGATTCATAGAATTTCCCCAACTTGTTTGTTAGACTTGGGGTCCAGTTAGTCAATAAATTTCAATGACTCAACAGGTTTGCGAGAAGCTTGGCCCAAGCTTGTATGACTTTCTGCGGAAAACTGCCTACCGCCCATTTCCAATCGACCTAGTTCGTGAGCTTGGAGAGCAACTTTTGGAATCTGTCGCATGTGTGTAGAGACAGTACCTTTGCAAACCTCATATATTTTGTACTTGCTTTGTTTTCTATTAAGATTCTCTATTTGTTTGCTTTTCTTTTTCTCAGTGCGCTTATTCTTCTATATCTTATCTTGGACTGGGTTCTTTCTGTCATTTTCGGAAAAAAACGAGTAGACCCACATACATTTTTCTATTCTCTTTTGTTCCTGATTTTTAGGCTATCTGCTTTTGTGTGTATTTGGGTGCTCATAATTTGGTTCATATGCTTCTGTGTCATGTATCTTGATATGTATCTTACCTCATTGCAGTTATGCATGGCCTGAAGTTAATTCATACTGATCTAAAACCAGAGAACATTCTCCTTGTTTCTTCAGAGGATGCTAAGTTAGCTGAAAACAAGGTATGTATTACCATTGCATAACACCGAATAACTGTTAAGTTGCAGGAAATTTTTTTCCTTAAAATTTGCACCATGTCCAAAGCAGATAAAAGTCGTGTTCAGTATAGTTCTGTGTTAAATACAGCATGCTGCATTATTTTTCCTAATTGTATAATGTTTAAAATCTAGGATGGATCATTCTCAAAGAAGGTGCCAAAATCAAGTGCGATCAAGTTAATCGACTTTGGTAGCACAGCATATGATCATCAAGACTGTAGCTACATTGTCTCTACTAGGCACTACCGTGCTCCTGAGGTTATTTTGGGTATGAATTTGGACATGACTGGCTATTAGGTGCACATACTTTTGATTGTTTATCAAATACTGGAACTGACTTTCCCTGGTCTTGTGTTAGGGCATGGGTGGAGCTATCCATGTGATATATGGAGCATTGGTTGTATACTCGTTGAGCTTTGCTCGGTATGTGTTTGTATATCTTGTCCGTCTTTGTCTTGGGAAAGGTTCATGTGCATGTATGATTGAACTGGCCTCTTATGTTTTACAGGGTGAGACATTATTCCAGACCCATGAAAATTTGGAGCACTTGGCAATGATGGAGAGGGTTCTAGGTCCTCTCCCACGGCACATGCTGGAAAGAGCCGAGTATGTTTATTAATTATCCGCTACCTGTGTTATTGCCACTATTATGATCTAATGCCATTGCCACCTATGCGATTAGTTTTGATGGTTGACCTTTTTGCCTTGTGTAAATTCAGCCACCATGCGCAGAAGTACATCAGAAGAGGAAGGTTGAACTGGCCAGAAGGTGCAACGACACGGGAGAGCATGAGAGCTGTTCTCAAGCTGCCTCGCCTCCAGGTACGCAAACAGGACGAGCTTCCCTATTAGTTTCTGGGGCATTTCAATTTTTTTCTGGCCCTGAAATCTAGTGCCAGTGGCTCTTAAGTTTCCTTGTTTGGATTCAAGATGTATTTGTGTTTCTCTGCCGCAGTGACATGGTATTTGCTTAAGTTTGTCGGATTGTTTAATAACCACCTTCATCCAATCCGGGAATGCAGAACCTGGTGATGCAGCATGTGGATCACTCTGCTGGGGACCTGATCGGGCTGCTGCAGGGCCTCCTGGCGTACGAGCCTTCGGCCAGGCTGACCGCTCAGGAAGCCCTGAGCCACCGCTTCTTCAGGAGGCACCGTGAAAGGCGGTCGCTATGACCGAGCAACAATGTCCGCGGCTGACCCAAACAAACACTGACAGAAACCTATGAGGATTTGCAGGCTTGCAGCAAGGAAATAACAAGCTTGAGTTGTATCTGAATCTCCCTGGATATAACAGGACAGGGAGCAGTAGCCATAGTTAAAAGTTCAGAAGAGGCTTCGTGTGTTGTGGCTTTATGTACTATATAGCTGAAAGAGAATTCAAAAGTCTCACTGTCTTGTATTCAAACTCTGGCATGTTCCCTCGCAGCGGAAGCTGGGGCAAATTAAAACAAACCGTCGAAGCTGTGTATGTTTACGCCCCTAGAAATGGTATGGTAAAAGATCAAAGTTTGTGCTGAATACTATATCTTCTGGTGTTTTCTGTTTGAGAATCCTAAATCTTGCGGGTGATCTATGGACCAAATTCAAATGCGCTTTCACTATGTCTTAGATGCCATATTCAGATATTTTCTTCCGTTATCTTTAATGATACCATGACTTTTTTGAGGTTGTTAAAACCCAGGTTTAGTCACGGAAGCCATTCAACAGATTGCATATCTACTACTTACTGTTTTTTGTATGGTCAGGGTTGTTTTGTGTCCACAAAATAAACGAATGGTATTACCAGCCAACCAAAAACGGTCAAGATAGTTACCACTGGTAGGCAATCACACACAAGATTTGTTGGGTTGAATCCATGGATTTTAAAGCGCTAGCTAGTTATTAGCATTGTTGCAAACTGTTCTGTGTAAAGGAGGTGTCCAGTAAAAGGCCAGCCAACTATGACCCTGGTTGTCATGTCTTGAGGAACAGCACTTTATGTTTCTTTAAGTTGTAACTCTGCTTTGCAAATAAAGATTGACCCTGGTTGTTGACACTGATCAATGATCATGTGTGCTATTTGTAGATGACGTGGGCTCTAGAATATTATCCAGACATGTTCTCCACATATGAAGAGAGCGGGCCTACAACTGACAGAAGTGCTCAAGGATATAAACCAAGAGTAAAATCAACCAGTCAGTTTGGCAAGTACAGAGGGCGAATATGAAGAGCATAGCATAGGATCCCTTCCCTTGGACATATATACATTGAGATACATTTCCACTTTGCTAGAGAAAAGTAAGATGAGGTGCATCCATTCAACAAGGAATTTGGAGGAATTCAAACGTATTTTATCCCCGGATGCTTCAGCAAAGTTTGACAAGATACATCATGTGGGTGGAAAACAAGTGTCGACAAAAGGAAAAAGAAGACAAGAAGCCTGAGCACTATAAGAAGGCCAGGTGCTCTCTGTCGACAAGTAAAGTATACGGTTTTTTTCTTTCACTTTTTGATTGATGGGAAGTAAAATAAAAGATAGATGACGAGGAGGAGGAGTTGGCGCCCACGAATTTCAGCCCAGTCGATAGACACAGATCAAAATCAAATCAATGGCAGGCACTTGCTTGTTCGTGGGGTGGCCACTCACTCTCTACTAGTTGCAACAACGCACATGTTGTAGAAACTATAAATAACGATAGATGCAACACCCAAGCAGTTTGTACACCAAGAGCGCCTGTGAATCACTCACTAGAGCTGAATGAATCCCATGGTGAAATGCTGCCTGCTGCTCCTCCTCTTCTTGACGGTTCTCTTGCCTGAGGCGCGCGCGACCTCGTGCCACTCCGATGACCTACACGCGCTGCGGGGCTTCGCCGGGAACCTTAGCAGGGGGGCCGTTCTCCTTCGCGCCGCGTGGTCCGGCGCCATGTGCTGCGCCTGGGATGGTGTGGGTTGTGACGCCGCCAACGGCCGCGTCACGTGGTTGCGCCTTTCTGGACATGGCCTTGTGGGGTCCATCCCAGGAGCCTCCCTCGCAGGCCTCGCGTGGCTGGAGGAACTCGACCTCGGCTATAACAGCTTGCACAACATCTCAGGAGCGCTCACCATGCTGCGTGGGTGCCAGAACCTCACCACGTTAATTCTCACCAAGAATTTCGGCGGCGAGGAGCTACCAGGCGATGGCTTTATTGGGTTCAAGAGCCTCGTGATGTTCGACCTTGGTGATTGTGCTCTCAAGGGCAGGGTTCCGGGATGGTTGTCTCAATGCAAGAACTTGGAGGTCCTTGACTTGTCCCACAACCAATTGGTCGGCACCATCCCGTCGTGGATTGGTAGGCTTGATCACCTTTGCTACTTGGATCTCTCCAACAATACATTGGTTGGTGAGGTACCCAAGAGTTCTAAGGGCCTCAACACCTCTGGGTGTTCACCAGGTATCAGTTTCACTAACATGTCATTGTATCTGAAGCATGGCGGAAGAAGCACACTTCGCCGACAACTTAATCATGCCCCAAATGTCATAGCTGGGACCAACAACATTGTCAAATCTGGGAGCAACAACGTTGTGGCTGGGAACGACAACACTATCATATTTGGGAATAACAACGCCGTATCCGGGAGCTACCAGGTCGTATATGGTAATAACCATGTCGTAACTGGGGATAACCATGTCGTATCTGGGAGCAACCATGCCGCGTCTGGGAGCCATCATGTCGTGATTGGAAAGCACAATATTGTATCCGGGACCCACAATGACGTAGGTGGGAGCAAAAATATCGTGTCTGGTAGCAACAATGTTGTATCTGGGAGCCACAATACCGTGTCCGGTAAGAACCATTTCGTGACTGGGCACAACAAAGTCGTAACCTGAGGTTAATGACTGTACACATCATAGCATAAGTGCGCGCTGCAGCATCCGTCTGTCCATGTTGCCAGAAGATGTACTTTTGGGTATGATAAAGAATAAATAACGAGACTCATGTATTCAGGGCAAAACTGATGTATCAGGAGTTTTAATAGCTTGTATGACATATCCAAAACTTATGTATGTATGTGGGTACGTAAAAGGAAAAGGAGATGTGTCCATTCCCTCTACATGCCCCTGACTCATCTCACAGGATACTTTACTTACACGTAGGCTGAGAACACATGTCCTTTTCCCTGGGTTATGCTTTGCTGCAAATCCATGCCAGCCTGCCATATCTCTATTGTTTCATGCAATGCAGTACACTACACTCATTCCATATTATTCTCACATGTACGTACTCTCTCTGTTCCAAATTACCTAGATGTATCTAGACTTACTTTAGTTTTAAATACATCCATTTATATCTATTTCTGCCACAAGTAATTCAGGATGAAGAGAGTAGTAACCAATGAATAGATACAAGAGAAAACTCCCAACAATATTAATATCCATCCATCATATGAGCTTCAGAGCTGCTGCGGACAAATGCTGCCTCCACAGCAGCAGCCTCAAACTGCAGGTCGAAGCCACTCCCGTCATATCAAGCACCGCATCATCAGGGACAACTGCGTGGCCGCCTTCACCAACAAACACGCTAAGAGCATCCTCAATAGATGGTTCAAATGTAAAAGTAACTAAATTTTGGATCGTCTCAAATCAAAAATACAGCTCCAACAGACGGTTCATATGTAAAAAAAATAAACTGCGGCCTCTCGTGATGTAAAATACAACACATCGCGGTGCAAATTTACATCACGAGGTGCACCTGGTCCAAAACCAGCCGCCGCCCGCGAACGCCCAACCGCCAGTTCCTTTCCTTTTCCGTTCGCCCGCCCGCGACCTCCCGCCCGTCCGCCGCCGCCCTGCCGCCTCCACACCCCGCCGCACGCTGCCCACATCAGATCCGGCCCCGCCCCGCCCCCCGCCGCTGTTTCCACGCCGTCCCGCCGCCCGCCTGCCGCGGATCCTGCCACGGCCGCAGCGCACGCCGCAGCTTCGACCTGCCTTAGCTC